AAGGACTTATATCGCTAAGTTTTTTTGGAAAGAATTTCTACGGAAAATTAACCAACGACCAGAGACATAACAATATTATGGCTTATGTTGTATACCAAATTTTATGGACATAAGAAATATTTCACTAGTTTTTATCTTTAGAACTTTATAATTTCCATTACTTAAACACAATCTGTGGTCTGTTTTTAGACTGATCCAAACTTGTTGAAAAGTATTTCATAACTAAAGATAAGAACTATTATTCAGAATATAGAAGAAAAAAGCAATTCTGGTTGGGTAGAACTTTATGAAAAACTTGTCATCAGTGAAGATAAGAAGGCTTATTTCGTACGTTTGCCAGTTAATGATGGTTTGAATGGAAAATTTCGTCATGTTTTCAAAGTGGACATACAGGTAAATTTAAAGAGTATCAAGCCAGTATTTTAAGTAGCTCTTGTATTATTGTCAGTAAAACTATAAAATAAGTATATATTTGGAGCACTGTTAGCTGGTAATTTTTGTTTTGAGTTATAGAAAAATAAAATGTTGTGATTATGCTTTTGTTTTTTATTAGAGAGACAAGATCAGTTAAGCTCAATTAATCCTCTTCAACAATAAGTATCTTTCCTTGTTATTAAATAAACAGAAACTATAAAATCCCTTAATCTTGCATTAGCAGAAATTACATACTTTATTTATTGAATGCTTTTTACGAGTTATGTAAATTTTTTGAGCACAAGCTGGAATTTAATATTCAGAAGAAAGTGAGAATTCCTGCCTCTATATGGGAGCAGATGTCCATGCTAACACCAGCTATGCAATCATTTCAACTGAAAGAGGTGTAAGATGGAAGGTTGTCCTTGCTACAACTGGCAAGTAGTAGTAAGATGAAACATATTACACCTCTGTTTATCATGGATTCAGTGAAGAGAAACTTAGATTGCTTCCTTTAGTGGTTTAGCCAGACAGCCACATTAAATTTGTAGACTCGGGAACCAATGATGCAGAATTGTTGCTAAGTTTGGATTGATCAGTGATATATAGATCCCTTAGAATACCTGAAACCTGACCAATTCTGTAAAGAGAAAGCCTGTTAGATATTCATGACTTAATATGAGAGTTATGATTTAGATAGTTATAAAGAGTGAGTGTTAAATTCAGTATTTTTAGAAGCAATAATTTTTCACAGGTTTGTTTACGTAACTGTGTATAAATCATACATTGTGTAGTTCACTAGTCAGTGTTTGTTATATTGTTTTGTAATGTTATTAGAAACTTTTATGTTTTTCTTGTTGTTTCATTGAGTATTCTTACATCATAACATCTCATAGTTTGTAGACAGTTCTAGGCCTCAGTCAAGATAGATATAAATACGGTTCCAAGCAAGCAAGTAAGAAAGTTAGTGAAAGTAAAAGTATAAGTGAAAAAGGTGAAGTAGACTATGATGAGTTTAGCTATAATAGGCAATTTCTAAAGTGAATTTCACAGCTTGTATTGTAATAACAGAGTATGAAAAAATAATTTGTCTTGTCAAAGGGTGTTCAAAAGTAATTAAACCTGCCTGTGTGAACTTTGATGAAAAGGAGACAATTATTTAAAACTCTGGATACAACTGTGGTAACCAACAGTGTAATGAATATTTTTATATATATATTTGGCATGTTTTAATATATTATTTTAAAACAAGTGGACCATGTTACTGATTGTTCATTGTGGAAATTTATTACTAATAATTCATAGACACTTTCTTTAAAGAATCTGGCCTACAAAACCTGACAGTAGTAATACAGCTGTGGCTTTTGATTATAAAGTATCAACAGAAGCCAAGAAATGCTAATGTTTCATAAAAAGAATGTAGACTATATAGAAAATGTTATATGCCATAAGCAGCTGCACTATTATTATATAAGCATATTTTGTTTACAACACAAAAATAGGGGGTTTGGCAAAACCCCTCCTGTATAAGTGCATGTTTCGATATTAGTTTATATGTACGAGTTTGCACATGAACAGGTGAGAAAAGCATCCAAAAGACAGAATATAAAGTATGATAAGACTGTGAAAGAATATTCGTTTAAAGAAGGAGAGTGGGTGTGGCTCTGGTATACTCCAGTAGCACATACACCACTCATATTTAGCTGGATTGGATCTTATCTTGTTCTACAGTGACTTAGTCTATTTAATTATGAGATTCAGCATTTGTGTGGCTCACAAAAGTGCAGTGACAATGTCATCTCCCAGTTGCTTTGTCTAGGAGTGAGAGAAAGCTTGCAGAAATTAGAATGCTGGGTTAATTTGTGGATTATCCATTGAAAGGAACTGTTGTTCCTTACTTCCTAAGATATTGAGCAATTTTGACATTGAGATGTCTATAGGACACTGGATGATAACTTTGTAACTAATATTCAGTTAGGATGACATACTATTCATAGATCAACTGTTGAAAGCCAATGCAACCCTAACTTTATGAGCTACATAACATATTAAAAATGTGGCATATAAACATACAATGTGTTTTATACCTTCTTATTTTAATACAGTATTTTTCTAACGAGTTAGTTATTCTAATATATATGCAATTCTAGCATAACCATGGTCAAGAAAGTCGTTTTTGTTCATTTTATTGTAGCTGCCTTTGTTTCTTTATTATTCTCTGAAGATAACACTCATTCTTATCTTGTGAAGAATGGCTGCAATGCTGTACATTGTGCAAGAATGTAGACAGCAGTGTCCTTCAATAGTAGATCAAATGATATTTCGAGGTTAAAACCTCCTTCAGGTTTGAATGAGAATGATCTGTCACATGGATAGTGCTAGTCACTCTGGGAATATCTGATCTTACCTTTAAGTAAGAAATATTAGATTTAAACACTCTGGTACATGATGTTGAAGTAACAGAGAAGTAACAGTTCCAATCCAGTAAAACAAGCAGTCCACCATCTAAACAAGTATATACACTGTATTCTGTTACAATGAAACTTTTGTTGTTGTATTTTACATTGTGTACAGATTTTTTATTTTGTTCTCACAAATATGATATTCAGTACTACTCTGTAATCTTGTTGGATCTCTTATTCAGCAGACCTATCTCATTTCTCTTAACATTTTAACTTAATATACCACAAAAAAAAACAGAATTTCTGTAGCATATATGCTTGTTTTTATACACATATTAGTACATATATTGAAATTCATTAAGTTTCAAATGTTAGGACAGCTGATGCCTATAATATCAGCAATTTGTATGATTGTAGATGATTACAAGAAACTTGCAAACATTGGAGAGCTGAAAGGTATTTGCAACCTATACTTTCTGAACTATTACATAGATTTGTGGATTAGAAAATTTTATTTCGTGTTATCAACTAGATTTTTAGTTATCAAAATAATAAATTGTGTTAGCTAGTAAATCTAGAATGTTAATGGTTGATAAGCTGTTGATTATAGCTAGAATACCTAGAACACCATTGACATTATGAGATAAATGATTATATACTATGTTCATAAGTTTCAAAATATATATGGGTATATTTTAATGGAGAACTTTTCCTTCTGGCCTGGCATGGCCAGGTGGTTAGGGCACTTGACTCGCAATATGAGGGTCACGGGTTCAATTCCCCATCCCACCAAACATACTCACCCTTTCAGCCATGGGGGCATTATAATATGATGGTCAATCCCACTAAAAGAATAGCCCAAGAGTTGGCAGTGGGTGGTGATGACTAGCTGCCTTCAGTCTAGTCTTTCACTGCTAAATTAGGGATGGTTAGTGCAGATAGCCCTTGTGTAACTTTGGGTAAAATTTAAAACAAACAAACCAGAATTTTTCCTTCTGATCGTTACATGTAAAACACTTTACAGTTGTGGCGTGAAGGAAGTTAAAATGATCCTACATATGGTAATATGATCTTACATATTAGAATATTAAGTATGTAGGTTGGTTTAGAAAATAGGTCTGCGTATGGTAAAATGATCATACATATGCAGTGTGTAGTTTTTAAAAATGAGTCTACATTTGGAAAATAATTATATATGTGGCTAAGACAGACTGAAAGTGAGGAAGGACAAAATATTATTCCCCTCTTCTATGGTAGCACAATAACTTAACTGTAGCTTTCTAGGAGAAAGAAGTAAAGAGTTAAAGTATATATATACTGTGCATGTGCTGAATCGTTAACATTTATTTTGTGATACTATTGTTGAGTGTGTATATCCATAGTTGTTGACACAATGTGGTAAACTGTTCAACTCTTTGTATCTGGCAATAAAAGAGCTTAAAACTCCAACTGTGTTTAAATCTCCTATTAACCAAAATCCACATGCTACTATGTTATATACATACATGCACATGCATACCTAAATGTGGTTAACAAATATAATTAACATATTGCCTAAGTTCTTTATGGTGTTTTTTTTATCAGAATTTGGAATAAGAATTTTGTTGTTTTTATTAATAATAAAATATGTGAATTGAATAGAATTCAACACTTTAAACAAACAGAAAAACATTAATAATAAAATTTAATGTTTTTTATGAAATGTAGAAGCGACAGAAGATTTCTGTGACACATGGAAGTTATGATGTCACTGGCATTCTTTGTCATCAAAAAGACACTGTGTAAGTTTTAGAAATTTGGTTGTATTCATGTTCTGCAAACTTTGTACTATTGAAATAGCAGTGAATAAAAACAGTAATAATACATTAATGTTATTTTTTCTATTGAGAACAACAAATTTTGCCTGTAGATATTTGCTGTTTATTTATGTTTTGTAAGTTACTTAATCTTTTATGCATTATTATGTTGATGTGTTATTGCTATTTTTTATGAATTTGTACAAAGTATTTATTCTTTTAAATAAGAACTATGTTTTAAACACACTTATGTCGTTTTACTCTGCAAATTCTACTGTGAAAATCTTGACAATATATAATAGTTATGTTGCCTTACTACTCACATTTTCTGGTACTTTGTTAACGGTTTTAAAGACAAGTTTTCTCTACTTTACTAACCATGACACTATAAAGATATGTATTGTTTTACTCTTCAAGCTCTCTGTCACTGTGAAAACCATTGGATTAAAAATACACATAATACTCTACAACCTTTTTCTTCCTTGCTAACCATGTATTATAAAGGCATGTATTGTTTTACTCTGCTAGCTTTACTATGTAAGATTCTATTACTGTGAAAAATCATTGAATTTAAAACTCATTTTACTCCAGAAGCTTTCTGTTAATATGATAACCATTGAATATCAACACACAACCTTCTCTTCCAAATTATGTTACTGTTAAAAACCATTTACTTAGAAATGTACTTTGCTCTAGAGGCTTTGTGTTCTTGTGAAAATCAGTTAAATTATTGTATTCTTTAAGCTTTCTGATAATGCAAAAAACCACTGAATACAAAATAAACATCTTACTTTTTAGGTATTTTTCTTCTATTATGATAAACATAATAATAAAAATACATATGATATTACAAACTTATGTATGTTGATTTACTGTTTCAACATTCTTGTGTTCTAAATAACATTGAACCTGGCTTGGCCTTGGTTGTTAGACACTCAACTTGCAATCTGTTGGTGGCAGATTCAAGTCCCACCATTGCAAATGCTCACCATATCAGCTTGGGGGTATTTTAATGTGATGGTCAATCCCACTATTTGTTGGTAATGAGTAACTCAAGCGATGGCAGTGGGTGGTGTTGACTAGCTGCTTTCCTTCTGGTCTATCACTCCTAAATTAAGGATGGCTAGCATAGATAATCTTCAAGTAGTTTTGTGCAAAATTAAAAACAAACAAACAATATAAACAACATTCAATTATAAGTACATGTATGTTTTCTTACACAGTAATTTTTTTTCTGTTATATTGGCCATGACTTCATGGACAAATGTATATTGCTTTATTGTATAAGCTTTTTATTACTATGATGATCATAGCATTATAAACAATGCAAGAAACATAAAATAATTATTTAATCATGAAAATAAGTTTTGTCAGATGTGTTATTTCTGGTAAGAGTACTATTTTATCAGAAGAAATAAATAACATAGAGTATAGAATCCAATAATATTCATGCCCCCAAAATGACTTTTTATTTGGCTGCAAATAATTAGTAAGAACTTTTAAGTAATGCATCTTGAAATGTTTCTGTTTTTATTTTTTAATTTATTTTAGTAATTCTTACCTGTAGTATTATACATGACTTTATAGTGCCTCCATCATCATCATCATATTAGTATACATGTAATTGTAACATTTTGATTAAATAAGTTTTTTTTTAGTGGGTAGACAAAGAAACGAAATCTACACTCTAAATTTTAATATTGTATCAAATATTAGTTTACTTCATGGGTGAACATAAGTGTCAATTAAAGCTTTGAGCTTTGTCTTTTGCTTTAGCTTTAGCTTAGCTCAAGGCTACTAAGAAGAGGTAAAATTCTATAAACTCCTCTCACCAACAAAATGATAAATAAAAAAAGAATTAGTTTTTTTCTCACCAAAAACTAGTGTAGAAATCTTCACCAAAAAATAAAAACTAAATAACAACAAAACTCGATAGGTATTACACAACCACCTTGGAAGACAAACCTGGTGAGAATCATGTTTTTAGTGCAAGGGTTATGAGTGCAGCTGCCAAGGAGAAGTCAGAGGTGTGTTTGACGTGTGAACTTGGAGACCAGTGTTTGTATAATAGTGCAATCTTCAGTCCTGGAGCCAAATACTACATTGTGGAGTGTTTAGGGCCAGGAGTTCCTAGAATTGAATTGCGACAAGTAGAAGAAAATAAATTACGTGAGTGTTTCAGTTGCATGTTATGTTTGTACAATCAAACTCTTGTTATGTACTCAAAATTGCTTTTCGAAGTCTAAAATCACATTCTAACAATATGTTATTCCCAGACAAGCTACAATATTAAAGTGTGTTTATGCATTTTTAAATTAAGGATCAAAGACAAAGCTGAACTATACTGGTGCTGACTCAAAGTATTGTCATTACAGCCTGCATTGTATTCTGCATAAATAAATGACAAAAATTCAACCATGGTCACTATAACTCTCAATGATATACTGCAAAAATTGTAACAGTGTGTAACAAGTACCCTTATCTTATATTGGCTCATTATCTTAGAGGGTATTAGGAGGTTAAGAAATTTGTGCCCTTACCTGATTTGAACCTGAGACTATCAGCCCATTCACACTAGTTCTTGAAGTTAATGAGTCTAAGGTTTATGCCCTTTCTGCTGACATACTCAGACTCAAGTCTCAAGCAGATAACTCTCACCCTGACAACATGCTACACTGTTATTCCATTTAAACACACTTTTTCTCAAGCCCAAGACACAGAGCAGAGCATTCTCAGGCTTTAAATACACAACACAAAACAGGATTCTCAGAGCATTTCCACACAGTGTAATGTAACATCCACAGACTGTCAACACACAGTATTCTCAGGCCATCTCCACACAATGCAACAAAGCATTCACAGGCTGTCAACACACAACATTCTCTGGCCATCTCCACACAATGCAACATAGCATCCACAGGCTGTCAACACACAACATTCTCTGGCCATCTCCACACAATGAAACATAGCATCCACAGACTGTCAACACACAACATTCTCAGGCCATCTCCACACATTGCAGTGGAACATCCACAGACTGTCAACATACAAAACAATATAGAATACTCGAACTATCTCCACACAATTCAACATAGCATCCACAAACTGTCAACATGCAAGATTCTCAAGCTATCTCACACAATGCAACATGCATCCACAGACTGTAAACACACACAACACAGTATTCTCATGTCATCTATATCAGTGGCAGACGCTTGTGAAAACAGGATTCTAAAGTCCAAAGGTCACGACAGTTTGGAAATAATATAGAGGGTCCAAGGAGTGTAAGCCCCTTGTGAGGGTTAAAAGGGCAAAGGTGTTTAATCCATGTGGCATATGTTATAAGGTTAATGTTTTATTTGTATTTTTCTGTATTAAATGAGCTGTGTGACTTGTATCCTTTAAAAAGACAATTAATACTTAACAGTTAAACTGCTGTCTTGATTTTAAATACTAAGTCATAACCATTATTAAGTAGGTTTAAAGGCTACACACTAAGCTTAACCCTATAAACCTATCTACAAAATTATTTTATGCAAGAGAGGGCAATTTAAACCTAATGTAATGGTAAATTACTTAAAATTTAAAAAACAAAGTTAAACCACAACTATTTTCATAAGCATCTAATTATCTAACCATAGTAGTTAACATTTTACAGATAACCTTCTGCAGAAAAAAAATATACATATCTCTACTTTCTCAAAGCTGCAATCTGAGAGAGTGATCTAAAAAACTGATATGTTACAAAATCAAAGCTTTTTCTCTCTAACATGTAAGAAGAAAACAGTAATCTTATACATTCAAAATCATACAGTATTAATACATGTATTAATGACACTATATACAAGATTGAGTTGCCATTCAAACTCTGATCGTATTATCCTCACCTTTTATACTTTAGAAAATTCAGAATAAAACAGGTAACCTGGAATCTACCTTAATCAGTTCTTGAACCTGGAATCTTGGGCTATTACTCTTCCAATTGATCTACCAAGATGTAAACTCTGTGAAGATAACTCCTATCATGAGCACTACAAAATTAACCAAAAAGTAGTAAACTATGTTCATAACAACTCACATTAATGTCGTGCACAGAGAATACTACAACATTTAGCTACTCTCATGCTGGTTCATATAGATGTGCTACATACATCAATGTTAACATTGAAATGTTGTCATTCTGTCCAACACAATTGTGCAGCACAGATCACTACAAAATTGCGATGTTCATGTATTGATTCACACTAGCAGAGGTATTGCATGTATTAATATTATACGTGACCATGTGCACATAGATCCATTACAAACTTGAGTAAATCACATATTGATCCACACAGCATAAATGAAAAATTAAATAGGTCTACAGTTGAAGTATATATTTTATGCATTATGCTGATCAGGATCAAAAGGTTCCTAATATTATAATATATATATATATATATATATATTTACAGTTTTGGTGTTGGAAAATAATGATGAACTGAGAGAACTATACCACCAGAGAGTGTTTCCTAAAGTTCAAACTTTCAAAGTTCCTGTGACTGCTTCCTTCAGTAAGTTCAAAAAGTAATATTTGGTTAAACATTTTTGATAGATCTGATATGTTGTTAGTGCACTAATTTGTTACATGTAAGGTTTTTGATATGTTTTTATGAATTACACATCATATTTTAATTATTCTACTGTGATAGCATACCATCATATTAGATGTGATGTTTATGCTACACTCATGATAGAAGCGATATATTTTTATTGTAATATTTTATGTGATATTTTTGTTTTGCTTCCTTAATAGATATACTATGTTTTCACTCTACTATAATATTGTTACTGTGATGTTTTTCCTATTATGTTGTTACATGTTATATTTGTACATTAATTTCTTGTATTGTTACTCATGATGTTTCTATTTAAGGGTAGTTTTAGTTGTTAAAAGTGCTTTAATAGTAGTTGCTTGTGAGTTGATCTTTCTTCTTAGTTGATAGATCATTCATTTGCATGTTAGAAGCCTTGTGTTCAGTCCTGCTCCATGGTGATACAAAAATTGGATTATCACAACCATGTCTTCCTAGTGGTTAGCCTGCCAGACTGTGGATCTAGGTCCATCATTTAATTGAGTTACGTCACCAGAAAAAAAAACAAATACTCTGCAAGAGTAGCCCAAGATTTGATAGTTGGTGTTATTAACTAGCTGCCTTCCTTCTAGTTTGTCATTTTAAAATTAGTGACAGATAGCTCTTGAGAAGCTTTGCACAAATATCTAAAAACAAACAAGTAAACAAATCTAATAACTCTGACTTGTTGATATTGTTCTAACATCTTGTTATTTGGATAAATTCTATTGTGTTTATCTTGTATTGTCATATGGATAGGTGTGTTGGACTGTATTTGTTTCAAAGATTTCTTCAGAATCCAAAAACGTTAAAAAAAAGGGAACTGTTAATCATAATAGTGAGAGCTAGTAAATATCGTGGAGAAAATCTGACAAAGTACTTGAAAGGAGGATGTGTAGTGTAACACTTGAACAAGGTTTGCAGTAGCTAAGTGTATGTGTGTTTGTTTATTTGGCACCTTTTAGTGTGATGTTGTATAGTTATTCAGTATACTATAGTTTGGTGCTCTATACTTACTTAATACCTTCTTGGTTTTTATTACATGTTTATTTTGATTATTTTTTCATAGGTGCAATAGTGCGACTATTCCTTCCACCTCAGTTACGCAAAGAAGAAATCACTAAGTATCCGATGCTAGTCTATGTGTGAGTATTTCCGTGTTTCAAACCTTCTAGTTCTCATTTATATAGTTCCAAAACAAATACTAGTATTTCAGATAGTGTTGTCACCTCAGAATGAAGGTTACAAAATCTTAATAGTCATTATTATTACTTTATATAAACTATAAATAACAGAATTGAAGGTATTATTTTTATGGTATGTATAAATATTTCATTTAATTGTAACATGCTTCAATTATTCCCTATTAAATCCTAATATAAAATTTAAAACTGAGATGTAAGTAGCATATGTAAATCATTATTATTTCAGTTTTATATGTTATGATAAATATTAAAAAAATTTTCTCTAAATGTATTCAGAAAGATAGTTGTGTATGAATAAGAGAGAAGAAAATATCATTAGTACCAGAATTGAATGAATGTATAATAATGCCAGTATTAGTGTTACATTTCTTGGTGTATTAAGTTGATGACTTATCTTTTTCTTTAACTAGTAATATTATTGGGATTTGTTAAATGTTTCAGACTTATTAAAACTTATTTTTTTATCAAACGTGATATTTACAGCACTTTTTTATTACTCAGGTATGGTGGTCCTGGAAGCCAACTTGTCACTGAAAAGTTTGGTGTCAGTTGGGGAACCTATCTTGCTAGTAATAAAAGTTTTATTTATGCCATGATTGATGGTAGAGGAAGTGGTAATCGTGGTGATAGCGTACTCCATGAAATATATAAAAACCTAGGAAGTGTTGAAATACAAGATCAAATAAGTGTTGCAAGGTAAAAATATCAAATATTTTTATAACAAAATATTTCAATTTATATTTACATTGTAGGTAAACTTCAATTTGTATATGTTATCTTAATATGTTTACCACATTTGGAACATTGTAATGAATTGTAGATTTCTATTCTACCCATGCTTTGTCCACTGAGGGGAGATGAATCCCAGATTTTAGCATAACTTACCACTGACCCACCACGTGTTCTTTCATTTGATTCTGAAGTGTTTTGCATGTATTTCCTGTTGTAAAACTAATATATTTATCTATCTGTTAAAACCAATTATAGAGATAACACCAAAGAAAAAGGAGCACAACTCAACAGTGCCTCCTTACTTTATATAATTTATTAAAATTTCAGACAACTAGATGAAAAACAAAAATGCATTGTACATGAAGGATAGACAAATAAACCTGTCTAAGATACAAACTACAGCATGGAAACTGACATATATCATAGTAAGAAAGGTATTTGTAATAATAGAGCCTGAAACAGTGGTGTGGATACACTGATTTTCAGATTTGATCTTTCTTTGCAAGCCTACATGTGAAATTAAACTAGAACTTTAAAATTATATGCAGATATGGGTGCTCAAACCCATACATCCTACATCTAAAACTGTCATTCACTGGCTGTAGCTGCATAGAAACTGTAGTGTCAAAGTAAAAAATATAAGCATTACTTATCATCTCTAGTACTTATAGTGACCTGTTTTACTCATATGTTTTTTTTCTCTTTCCTTGCTTTTCTATTTCATTAGAAACAACTACCATTCCACAACTGTAGACAGCATTTGGTAGTTTTTAAATATGTGATGTTGAAGACTTGAACACTCATATCTGCTCATAATTCTTAAGTTCTTATTTTTCAGTACCTCATTGACCCCCCAGTGACACAGTGGTATGACTGCAGACCTACAACACTAGAAACTGTGTTTTGATACCCATGGTGAGCAGAGCACAGATAGCCCATTGTGCAGCTTTGTGCTTAACTACAAACAAACAAGTACCTCATTTAACTTGAAATGTGAAACTTTTAAATAAAGGTTAAATATGACAGACAATGACTGACCCATTTACTTCTGTTTGAGTCCTACTTCTGCAGATATTAGGATATATTTTATCATTTTATATTTTAGTTTGTATCCCAGTTTTTTTTGTTTATTGCTTGTGTGGCATGACTCTTGTTTTTGTCTAATAGTTTCACACACAGTCTAACTTGGTCACCTATATATATATATGTATATATTACCCAACTGAGGTCTAGAACTCTCAACAAACTACAAGACATTATGATGTAACAATACTGCCTTAAAGTGACGAGAAAACTTCAGAAGGTTCAAGTAACATGACGTAACTTCCCACCAATTGAACTGCACAAAAATTATTTGTAAACAGTCACATAAACAAAGAACTATTGCTTCTAAAAATAACTTACTTTAGCAATCACACAATACCAACTAAATAATACTCTCATATTACACTTACATCTAACAGAGAGGCTTTATAAATGTAGACTTAAAATTAAGTAGCACAAACAAAAATTATGTTTAGCTCTTAAAATATAGCAGGTGACTCATTAGGTCACAAAACTAAGAATTAAACAGAATTAAAACAAAATACGAAACTTAGAAAGACAGTGAAGTTTATTTCTTGGAAGCATATATACAGAAGGCAAAGGTTTATTATTAAGCTACAGATATAGTTCATATCTAACAAGAGACTAAATGTGACATGGAAAATAAACGTTTTTTATTTTCTAATCAGCAAGTTAAGGATGCAAAAGTACAAACATTTAAGTGTTTATAGCCATTGTTACCAATAAAAGGCACACACACACACACATACATAACATTCATTTTAGCCATAATGGTTGATTTCCAAAGTGATTTTCACAGCTTGTATTGTAATAACAGAGATAGAGGAGAATTTAACCCACTTGTGTGGACTTTGACGAAAAGAAGACGATTATTTAAAGCTCTGGATACAACTGTGGTAACCAACAGTTATAGTGGTGATTCTAAAGTGAGTGTCACGGTCTTGTATTGTAACAACAGAGTAGATGAACATAATTTGTCTTGTCAAAGGGTGTTCTAAAGTAATTGAACCCTCCTGTGTGGACTTTGATGAAAAAGTCTTCCAGGGTCTTTACGGACCCCAAATATTTTGTAAACATTGGCGCCAACAGATGGAAACACGTACATGTTTGTTGTTTTCAGTAGCTTCAGTATTTGTTTAGTTTGTGTTAAATTATTACACTTAGTTTAGATGGTAAAAAAAACAAGTTGTGATATTTAATGTTCATTTATTGATCAATAAAGAAAAATAATAGTTTTTTATTATGTAAATACTTTTTAATTAATTTTTATGATAGTGTTCTCTGAGATCCCGGAAGAGTGACTATGGCAAATTTTTACAGAAGACTAATGCAGGATTAAAACTCTGGATACATTGTGATAACCAATAGTGTAACGAATTTTTGTACATAATTTACTTATTTTGAATTTATTATTTTAAATAAGTGGATTGTGTGCTGTCTGTTTATTGTTGAAATTTAATGCCAACAAGTTACAGAAACCTACTGTAAAGAATCTAGCCTATATAAAAAAATCTGACACTCTTTATGGCTTAGTCATAAGCTAGATGGTTTATAATGCTAAAGATTTAAGTATGATTCCTGTCAATAAGGCCTATGTAAGATAAATCAAAAAGTCTGACCTATTTTCAGACCAGGGCCAAAAAATTTTAGGAATGAGGTAATTAAAAGAAATTCAAAATCTATAATGATTAATGGCACTGTTATTGAGTAGTGAAGAAGGCAAACCTATGGATTAATGGTCAAGGCTGTATTAGAACTTGGCAGTTTTGGTATTTGAATGTACCAGCATTTGTTCTTGTAACATTATATTACATGCTCTGAACTTATTCTTTGTTTTGTATATGTACAGGTTTCACATAACATGAGGACAAGAAAGTTATTAAGTAGCTTTTGTTCTAAGCTACCTTTGTTCCTTTTGAAGTAGATAATAACTGTTAAGACCTCATTTTCTAAGAATTCAACAATGGTGTCCTTCAATGATTGTTGAGGTGGTATCTAGTGGTTATGCCCCACCTATGTTGTAATGAGAAAGACTAGTCATGTGGTAATTTTGGCCAGCCTGCGTAAATGCAAGGTTTGTTACATGCTAAGGAAAATAGTATTTGGTCAGTCCAGTCTGAAACTTGGTCTTTAGTTGGTTAGTCTGTCTGGAGCTTCATCTTGTGTAAGTGTATTCTGAACAGGATTTTGTAGAATGAACAAGTAAAAGTATCCAGACAAAGCAATGGTCCAACATGTTTAATATTCAAGCAAATACAAACATTATGTTAATATTTAGTGTCATAATAAAGATTGTGCATATTGTGTTACACTTCTTGTCCAGTCTCATTATTTCATTTTACATTGACTCAGTCAGTAAGAGGTTTAGTATTATTCTGCAATCAACATTTTGAGTGAATCTCTTGTTATCTAGAAGACCTATCTGATATAGCCCTGAAGTTAATTCAATTTCACCAAGATTAGTGGTTCTCAACTTTTTTGAATCCACGGAACTCTTCTGGCATCAAATTCTTCACAGTATTTATTATGAAAAACATTACTGCAATACCAGCAGCTGTTTGTACCTAGTCTCGCTCACTAAATTAAAACAATGCAGTGGCTTTATGTTATGTTCTGTCATTATGAAACCTGCTACACTAATAAAGATATATAATGTAGTCGGATTGCAATTATGTGACTAGTACATATTTACGCATTAGAATATGCAGAACTCTTGCATTTTGCAGATCCCTGTGGAACCCCAATATCTCATGGAAGACCTGGATGTCTGTTGAGGAATCTGAGGTTTCCTGGTTGAGAGGCATTGACCTAGATATTCCACACAGCTAACTATTGTGATGCCTTCACAGTTCCGTAGTAAATTTTGAGCAAATCACATTTTTCCGTAAATTTTAAACAGTTAAGTTGGCTTTGCAGCAAAATTTTACAATGTTTATTTAGTAAAGTTGTCCCTAGAACTTCCTTGCAATTTTCATTTGTAAAGCTCAATGATTAATCTTTCAAATAGCAATTCGATTTCAGTGTGAAACTTTCAAGTTTCTTTTCAGGCTCATATTATAGTATACAGCTAACTCTTGGTGTTTTCATCTTGTTCTGTCACTTTTTTTTTAAAGTAAAAAAGAGTCTGATATGTAGTTACTTCTATTTAGGGATTAGTCTACTGATAGCATCATTCATATTAAATACACAACAAAACATTAACTTGATAGAGTTTTAAAAGTATCAAAGTTCAGTATTAAAGTTTATTACTATAGTTGAACATTAACATTAAGTAATAGAGTTAATAATTAATGTTTATTATTAGTTTTTTAATGAAATTTAGCTTTAGAGTTTAGTTGTAGAGTTATTGAAGGCTAGCGTTGAAGCTAAGAATTAAAATTTAGTTTTGTAATTTTGTACTGAGGTTCAGTATAAGAGTTGAGTGTTAGCTTGAATTATAAAAACTGGAAGGAAAGTTGGTGCATGGATTAGATACAGACATCACATGAGTTACATTGTTTTATACTCAGTTAAGAAATCTTTTATTCCAGGTATCTTAGGGATGACTTACAGTTCATTGACAATGAAAAAATTGCCATCTGGGGATGGTCTTACGGAGGTTATGCTACAGCTATGGCTCTTGCCATGGATACAGATGTCTTTCAATGTGGAATGTCTGTAGCCCCTGTCACTAATTGGCGTTATTATGGTGAGACAATGATAAACTTCTCATAACATGTTTATTTTCAGAAGAAATTGTTCATTTAGTCAAACTTGTTAGTATCTTTTCTACAATTTATATATGGCATGTCTAAGCAGTCAGGTGAGACAAAAAAATAAACAGGTGCTATATCTAAATAAATATAATAGTAATGTCTGTTGTATATCCATGTAACTACTTCACAGGGTGTGGATGGATTTTTACCAAATATGCTATGGAGGTTCATTGGGTCAGTGGGGAGATACATACAAATTTTCAGTTTTGCATTTTATGGTTTTTATAGGCGTTTTTACTGGTTTTTTTACCACTACCTCGCCCCCTCTTGATGGACCTTCACCAAATTAGGCATGAAGGTTTGTTGGGTCCATGCAGTGATACATGGAAACTTGCAGTTTCACATGTTGTGTTTTGTAGTTTTAGAGGTGTTTTTTACAATTGCATATAAGGAAAGCAGCTTTCCATGTCCTAGGATAACCTTTCATTAATCATGAATTTACCTAACTTCCATCCAGGGGACGAGTACTCCAGCTAGTAACCAATAAAATATATATATGTACATACATGATCAGATAGAAGAAAAGAAAGTTTACCATAAACTTACTCTTACAACAGGATAGAGGGAGAAAATCAGACAAGAACAGTTAATTAAGGACAGGAAATTTACTATATATTTACCATTACAACAGGATGAGTTTACAGAATCAATGAACAAAATAGAAGAATGTGGTTTACCGCATACTTTCTGATACATAAGGATTCTTGTACAAACACAAATAATGGAGCATTTGTACTGTAACCTTGTATATATTGTGACTTTTTGTTGGCAGATTCTATATACACTGAACGTTACATGAAACTTCCTCAAGAAAACCACATTGGATATGAGAAATCTAACTTGTTGAAGAAAGCAGGAAATATCAAAGGGAAAAATTTTCTTTTGGTTCATGGAACAAGTGATGGTAAGAAATTTTTCATTTGGTGGAAGAATATTCACATTTATGCTTCCATCAACACTAGAGCTTATGTTAAAAACAAGTTAAACATGCATATTAGAGCTGCTGTTCATCACAAGTTTTACTGTTTGTATTTGTAATAATACTCAATATTTTTCAATTGCATATATTTACTAGAGCTAATGTTCAACATAGATTTCACTGTTGGTTTGTGAACCAAGGCTGAAATCAAAGGTTTATCTATTTCTACTAGAGCTAGTTGAAGACATGTTTTTGTATTAGTATTTGTACTAATGTTCAACAAAGTTTTAACAGATTTACTAGGGCTAATTCAGGACAACCTTCACTGTTTGTATTTGTACCAATGTTCTAAAAATATATGATTTCACAGTTCATTATGTATTAACTTATAAATACAGTACAAATTATAATTCATGATGTCAGAAAAACATGTAGGTTCAAGAAGTCTTAATATAAAATGATAAAAACCCTATAATCTGAGCACTTTTGAAATGTGGACCTTTTTTCTTCCAGGGTAAACTGTACAAATTATATATAATTAACCGAAGAAATTTTAGCTCATCCAGGTCAATAACATTAATTATTTATTACTTATTTCATCACATTTAATGTAAAAATAATGAGCATTTATCCTTTCAACTTAAATGAATTTTATATATTTTCATAGTTTAAAATTCTCTGACTAATACTTTAAATTTGTTTTTATTATTTTCATTTTTTATGATTTATTCAGCACCAAATATTTAATAATGTTTTTGCATAATCTACTTCTTAAGTGTTGGAATCTTATATTTTAATCCCCAGTGAGTTAACATAATGTTCTATTTGTAAGTAATCATTTTTATTCTTTATTAAATATCGTACAAGAAATATTTTAGTAAAATATAATACCTTTTATAATTGTTTCTTTTTTATCATTACATAATATTATAGTTTTATAACATTATTCTGTAATAAAAAAGTTGATTTCATTGCAGTTCGATAAGTCCCTTCCCCCATACCGAAATTCCATACTGAATTACTGGCTGTGTCAGTAAGAAGTACAGAATTCTTAACATATAGATGCTTATCAATATTTTCAAATTATAGGTTTTAATGAACATAAATCTTCATGTTTTTACCAAATCCTTAACATGAGTTTCTAGCTTAAATTTTTATCAATTTGTAAGCCTAAATATTTTATAACATCCACTCTTTCAATTTGCAAACTGTGTCTCTTACTTACAATGCTAGAAACTAGGTTTCAATACCTGTGGTGGGCAGAACCCTTTGTGTAGCTTTGTGTTTAACTATGAGCAAACAGACAACTTACAAACAGTTACAATTATTATTATTATTTATACACTCATTATTATGAATACACAATTTCAAATCATTTTCATATGTATTAATTTAATTTATTAATTGACACATTTTTGCTTTAATTATGTTAGTAGATAATTTGTTTAAAACAAAATTTTAAC